CGCGTATTCTGCACTGCATAGCTGCAAAAAACGCATAAAAAGTGAAAACTGTGTTTACATTTCGATATTTTTCTATCGGGCACCACAACAGTACTCATATAAAATCAGTACGTGTCAAACAATTGTTAATACAATTGGCTCCCTCAGCGCAGTAAACCTGTGCCTCTCCAAAATTTTTTGATGTTTAGGTTATTTGTCCATTTTTTTAGTCACTTTTAATAACTGCTGTCACTTAAGGCTTTAATGGTGATTTTCAACAACTACGTTCAAACAGCAGAAATCAAACGAATTAGCGAAATGCTCGTGAGGTTTCGTGAAGAGTGCAATGATACACTAGCTGAAATGGCCGAGATAGGCATTGCTCCGATAGATCGTTCAATTTATGAATTAGTCGACCGACATAATTACTTCGAACTATGCTTACGGTAAGCAACAGTTCAGTCGTTAATGCTTCTCTAGAAACAACGCAAATGGTATGAAAATTGTCATGAAATGAAACCTTTGCTAGCGTTCCCCAAACGATTTGCAAGAAAATGGGTAATTGTAAATGAAAACCGTTACAACCAGAGAAATACCTACACACAAGCCTACAAATGGAGGCGAAAGCAACATTTGTTATTGCCGTCAAAGAAAACAAGTATATTCTGTGGTGCCACTATTTGTTTATTGCAAGTGTTGTAGAATTTCGAAAATAATGATAAAAAAATTTCTGTGCAAGCGAGAGAGAAAGCGAATGAGCAGTTTGACTAAAATTAAATGAAACTCCACTGATAAATCAGCCAGGAAAATCCGGCCGTATCATGTCATACCGTTACATTATTCAAAATTCGACTGCACAGTCGTGTGCAGCCTTCAAAAAAAAGGAAAAAAACAGATCCTTCTGTAGTCATCTTGGAAATGACGAATCATATCTTTGTTGTAGGAATATTACCGAATTGGATGCTGGCCGTATATTTCTATGGCGATGTCTGTGCGAATTCATCCACAAGTCTTGTTTAGAAGCCGAAGATTTTTCCGATTCGCTTCATTTTTTGCTTCCTGATTTCTGTGATTTTGCCGACTTCATTCACAAGTAAGTATATCAGTAGCCGGCTTAGAATAGGCAATAGTTTTTTTGATTTCTTCTGCCAACGAAATCAAAGAATGCCTAAACTGAGAGCATGTAGTGAACTTCTGGACAAATATATGTTTTTGGTATCAACGTTTTTTGATGATATTTTTCGGAAATCAAAAATCCTTAGACTTCACTGTTTTAACATTATTTAACATTACTTAAAAAGACACAACCTGAGATACAACAACTGAGGTACATCAAACCAACGAAACTAAAATTCTCAAAATTTTGGTACTGATGATTGGCCTTTTGTAGACAGCACTTGGTTTAACGAAAAACTTCTAAAGCTCATCATCAAGAAAACGAAAGTCATCAAGGTCATAAGCTTAGATGGAAAGATTGGACGTCGCAAAAGAGCGGTTCCATAATTCGACTTACTGCAGAATCAGTTAAAATTAGCTTTACATTTGACCTGTGGCATTAAGTTAAATAATTGTCCAACGCACGGGCTGCCCGTGCTAAGATGCGTTTTTTGCATAGTTCCCCGCAGTTTTTGTCGCTACCGGTACCGGTTTTCCCGGAAAATACTTCTAGCTAAACAAATTAAGACTGGCCATCAGAACTGTCAGGAAACGCCCCCTTAAAATTTGAGCTTTCTAACTTTCCTGGCTCCTAAGTTGTCACCTACTTGGGCGGGAACTTCTCCATCCCAGCTCCTCAGATCCTCGAGTTATGAACTTACTCGAGAAAAATTTTGGCAGGCCCGTACGCGGGTACCACGCTTTATCCGGGGCTGGGTTTGAGCTCATTAATACCTACTTGAACAAAAAACGTCTCCTTAACATTTCAGCCTCCCAGCACTTTTGGTTCCCCAGTTAGCAGCTTACTCGTAAAAAATTTTGGCGGGCTCGTACGTTGGTACCACGCGGGTAGGGGCGCCCATTTTGGGGATTGGGGCCCGTACTTGCATGTAGATTACGTTCCCCGATTTTCAGCACCGCAGCTTTTGTGGGTCTCGAGATGAAAAATCGGTACAAACGCGCAGCGCACACACAGACACACAGACACAAACACACACACACACAGACATCCTCTCGTCAATATACGTTTTCTGCATTGCATAACTGCAAAAAACGCATAAAAATGTTGCCTTATAGTCAAAAAAGTAGCACTTAAAGGCCAAGGCTTAAAGCTTTCAGTTTTTGCTCTTTTTTCGGTCCTTAAACGTATTGAAATTTTGTGGATTATTGATTGCTTGTAGCGCTCTGATAGATTGGAAAGCACCGGAATATACAAACGCAGGTGTTATTGAAGCATTTTCGGTTTATCAGCTCTGCCTAATTACGCGAGCGTACAAAGAGAAAGGACCATCTGAAATGTAAGAATTACCAGAAAATGATTGACTTTCTCACGGGATGAATTTCACTGCTTGTAAATATAGGCACATAAATTTGTTTTAAATACTGTTGTACAATGCCAAAGAATACACTACCAATGGAATTGGTGTTGTCATAGTTCATAAAAAATTTTTGTACTCGAAGCAGCTTTTTGGGAAAATATGTGGTGCACGCCAGCTGACGGTCAAGATTTATACCTTTGTATTAATTTTATGCAATGCCACCATAAATGCGAATTTAATTTCGAGGGAAAACTTGTGTCATATGCTCGAAACAATTATCCGGACTCGTGATCTGCCTAATTCGAAAAATTTGATTGAATTTGCAATACATGAACTGAGTGATTCATTTTGTCCAACTCAATATTCGTTTGAGGTATTTTTGATTTGAAAATTTTGAACAAATAAAATAATTTTACAAATATGCTGCATTTGGCAGTTTTGCCGAAGTTAAGCTGTGTTTTGAGTTTCACTTGTTTCCTGCGAGTGATCTGACTAGGGAATGGTGCTTTCGAGTTGTTCTGCTATTGCTAAAACTCATCACACTAGCAAGTACTGGGTGCACTTGCAAAGCGGCGATGATACTTCTTCCCAAGGCACTTTAACGGCACAAAATATTATTGTATCTCACTGCTGTTAAATTCTTATCAATGATGCTCCTTTCATCGATCATAGTGTAATCAGTAAATTTTACAGTCTTCAGCAATTGGGAACTCGATCAGCTAAAGTTTTTTAAGTTTCAAAACGTTTTCTTTCTTGCGCCCTTTGCACTTTTTGTCATCTATTATTGCTTACAGTGCAAGATTTGAGTTATAATTGTATGAGCGTAATTCAAAGTCAAAAGTCAAAACCTCTACCATATTCGCTGTCAGTGTGAGACAGAGGCTCCGCAAATGTTCTGAGAATACAGAGTGCATGCAACAGTCATCCGTTAGCAAGGCTGCCGATCATTCCCTCAAAAGAGCTGATAGCAAATAAATTCCAGTGGAACTGCAAAAAACTTAATCTGATCTCTGTTCTTCAGTTCGAACATAATTTCAGAAGTTAACGGAATGCTGCTGTTCTATTGTACGATCTTTTTTAACGCGTGAGGCGGACCAAAGCGGAGATTTACCGACTACGAGAGCGTCGTTAGAAAGAAAAGGAAGGATATTTCCTGTGTCAGTTACCAGTGCCGAAAATATGAATGGGGATTATCAGTTCTCGCTCTTTACGGTAGTCGTATTTACTCTGTTTTCTGGCCTAAATAAAAATATTACTGTTTAAGTAAAATAAAATTTTATACCTGATTTTACGAAATGCCTTTTGACATATTATTGTAATCGCATGTTGTCGAAATACGCAGCAGAAATTTTTGAATTCTGATAGCTGAAAGGGATTTTTTGCAAATCAGAAATTTTTCCGTTTTTTAGCATGAAATTTGATTCACAATTGATTTTTTTCTCGAGTCTTTTTTTTAGCCAGAATTACATGCTCTAGAGCGTGGTGTTTTGGTTATTCTTGTCATTCTGCGTCATCCGCGAACCAAAAATATGACTACAGATTTACGCGAAACGTTCGACCGACTGGTGTGTGTTTTTTTGTCAGTTATGGGACTGTTTAGTCTTATACCCAAAAATTTTAGTGTTTGAAAAATATTATACGTTTTATGAAGAATATTGTTACTAAGAACTGTGTTCAAAAATGCCTTTTGCTCGAAGTGTTTTTTGTCTGCGAGTTCTTCGAATGACATTTTTGAAACAGTTTTGCATACTTCACCCTTTTTTCATTGCACTGTCTGACTG